AGAAACGCAGGAAAACAAGATAATGAGCGACAGATTGACAGCATTAAGTCCACATGCATCAATAATCACTCTCAATGTAAACGGATTGAACTCTCCAATAAAAAGACACAGAGTGGTAAAATGGATTAAAGAACAAGATCCAACAATTTGTTGCCTCCAGGAAACACACCTCAGCCCCAAGGACAAACACAGACTCAGGGTGAAGGGGTGGAGGACAATACTTCAAGCTAATAGAAAGGAAAAAAAGGCAGGTGTTGCAATTCTTATATCAGACCAAGTGGATTTCAAAATAAGACAGGTAAAGAGAGACACAGAGGGACAATATATAATGATCAAAGGGACACTTCATCAAGAAGAAATAACGCTTATAAGTATCTATGCACCCAACACAGGAGCACCCAGATTCATAAAGCAACTATTAACAGACCTAAAGGAAGATGTTAAAAACAACACAATAATAGTAGGGGACCTCAACACCCCACTCACATCAATTGACAGATCATCCAGACAGAAAATCAACAAGGAAATAGTGGAGCTAAATGAAAAACTAAAACAATTAGACTTAATAGAAATATATAGATCACTTCACCCTGAAAGAGCTGAATACACACTCTTCTCAAGTGCACATGGAACATTCTCAAGGATAGACCATATGTTGGGAAACAAGGCAAGCCTCTACAAATTTAAAAAAATTGAAATAATAACAAGCATCTTCTCTGATCATAAGGTGCTATAAGGCTAGAAATTAATTACAAGAAAAAAGCTGAGAAAGGCACAACGATGTGGAGACTAAACAACACACTACTGAAGAAGCAATGGATCACTGAAGAAATTAAAGAAGAAATAAAAAAATACCTGGAAAGAAATGAAAATGATAGCATGCCATACCAACTCATATGGGATACAGCAAAAGCTGTATTAAGAGGAAAATTCATCGCAATACAGGCACATCTTAACAAACAAGAAAAATCCCAAATAAGCAACCTTAAAGTACACCTAACTGAACTAGAGAAGAAAGAACAAATAAAGCCCAAAGTCAGCAGAAGGAGAGAAATAATAAAAATCAGAGCAGAAATAAATACTATTGAAACAAAAAAGGCAATAGAAAGGGTCAATGAAACAAACAGCTGGTTTTTTGAGAAGATAAATGAAATTGACAAACCACTAGCCAGACTCACAAAGAAAAAAAGGGAGAAAGCTCAAATAAACAAAATCAGAAATGAGCGAGGAGAAATAATAACAGAGTCTGCAGAAATACAAGGGATTATAAGAGAATACTACAAAAAACTATATGCCAACAGAATGGATAACCTAGAGGAAATGGATAAATTCTTGGACTCCTACAATCTCCCAAAGCTCACTCAAGAAGAGGCAGACAATTTGAACAGACCAATCGCGAGGAAAGAGATTGAAACAGCGATCAAAAACATCCCAAAGAATAAAACCCCACAACCAGATGGCTTCCCTGGGGAATTCAACCAAACTTTCAGAGAGGATTTAATACCTATCCTTTTCAAGCTATTCCAAAAAATTAGGGAAGACGGAACACTTCCTAACACATTCTATGAGGCCAACATCACGCTGATACCAAAACCAGACAAGGACACCACGAAAAAAGAGAACTACAGGCCAATATCACTGATGAACATAGATGCAAAAATCCTAAACAAAATTTTGGCAACCAGAATTCAGCAATTCATCAAAAGGATCACACATCATGATCAGGTGGGATTCATACCAGGGACACAGGGATGGTTCAACATCCGCAAATCAATCAACGGGATACACCACATCAACAAAGTGACGAATAAAAACCACATGATCATCTCATTAGATGCAGAGAAGGCATTTGACAAGCTCCAACAGCCATTTATGATAGAAACTCTGAACAAAATGGGCATAGAAGGAAACTACCTCAACATAATAAAGGCGATATATGACAAACCCATAGCCAACACCATACTCAATGGGCAAAAACTGAACGCCATCCCCCTGAAAACAGGAACGAGGCAAGGATGCCCTCTATCACCACTCTTATTTAACATAGTACTGGAGGTCCTGGCCAGAGCAATCAGGCAAGAAAAAGGAATAAAAGGAATCCAAATAGGGAGGGAAGAAGTGAAACTCTCGCTATTTGCAGACGACATGATCTTATATATAGAAAACCCCAAAGAATCCACTGGAAAACTGTTAGAAGTAATCAACAACTACAGCAAAGTTGCAGGGTATAAAATCAATTTGCATAAATCAGTAGCATTGCTATACTCCAATAATGAACCAACAGAAAAAGAACTCAAGAATACAATACCATTCACAATCGCAACAAAAAGAATAAAATACCTTGGGGTAAATTTAACTAAGGAAGTGAAGGACCTATATAATGAAAATTACAGGCCTTTCTGAGAGAATTGGCTGACGACATAAGGAGATGGACAGACATTCCATGTACATGGATTGGAAGAATAAACATAGTTAAAATGTCTGTTCTACCTAAAGCAATCTACAGATTCAACGCTATCCCACTAAGAATCCCAATGACATCCTTTACAGAATTAGAACAAAGAATTCTAAAATTCATATGGGGCAACAAAAGACCCCGAATTTCTAAAGCAATCCTGAGAAAAAAGAACAAAACGGGAGGCATCACACTCCCTGACTTCAAAACTTACTACAAAGCTACAGTAATCAAAACAGGATGGTACTGGTATAAAAACAGGTGCACAGATCAATGGAACAGAATTGAAAGCCCAGAAATAAAACCACACATCTATGGACAGCTTATCTTTGACAAAGGAGCTGAGGGCATACAATGGAGAAAAGAAAGTCTTTTCAACAAATGGTGCTGGGAAAACTGGAAAGCCACAGGTAAAAGAATGAAAATTAACCATTCTTTTTCACCATTCACCAAAATAAACTCAAAATGGATCAAAGACCTAAAGGGAGACCTGAAACCATAAGGTTTCTGGAAGAAAACGTAGGCAGTACACTCTTTGACATCAGTAGTAAAAGGATCTTTTCGAACACCATGTCTTCGCAGAGAAGGGAAACAATAGAAAGAATAAACAAATGGGACTTCATCAGGCTAAAGAGCTTCTTTTAGGCAAATGAAAACAGGATTAAACAAAAAAACAATCCACTAACTGGGAAAAAATATTTGCAAGTCATATACCTGACAAAGGCTTAATATCCATAATCTATAAAGAACTCACACAACTCAACAACAAAACATCAAACAACCCAATCAAAAAATGGGCTGCAGGCATGAACAGACATTTCTCCAAAGAAGATATACTGATGGCCAATAGGCACATGAAAAGATGCTCATCATCGCTGATCATCAGGGAAATGCAAATCAAAACTACACTAAGATATCACCTTACACCCATTAGAATGACAAAAATATCTAAAACTAATAGCAACAAATGTTGGAGAGGTTGTGGAGAAAAAGGAAAACTCATACACTGCTGGTGGGAATGCAAATTGGTGCAGCCACTATGGAAAACAGTATGGAGATTCCTCAAAAAACTAAAAATAGAACTACCATACGATCCAGCCATCCCACTACTGGGTATTTATCCAAAGAGCTTGAAGTCAGAAATCCCAAAAGTCCTATGCACCCCAATGTTCATTGCAGCATTGTTTACAATAGCCAAGACATAGAGGCAACCTAAGTGCCCAGCAACAGACGAATGGATAAAGAAGATGTGGTACATATATACAATGGAATACTACTCAGCTGCAAAACAGAACAAAATCATTCCATTTGCAATAACATGGATGGACCTTGAGAGAATTATGCTAAGTGAAATAAGCCAGCAAGAGAAGGATAATCTGTGTATGACTCTACTCATATGAGGAATTTAAAATTATGGACTAAGAACAGTTTAGTGGATACCAGGGGAAAGGTGGGGTGGGGCGTGGGAACAAAGGGTGAAGTGGTGCACCTACAACATGACTGACAAACATTAATGTACAACTGAAATTTCACAAGATTGTAACCTATCATTAACTCAATAAAAAAAAAAAAAAGATGTGGTATATATATACAATGGAATACTACTCAGCTGCAAAACAGAACAAAATCATTCCATTAGCAATAACATGGATGGACCTTGAGGGAATTATTTTAAGTGAAATAAGCCAGTTAGAGAAGGATAATCTCTATATGACTCCACTCATATGAGGAATTTAAAAATGTGGACAAAGAGAACAGATTAGTGGCTACCAGGGGAAAGGCAGGGGTAGGGGGTGGGCACAAAGGGTCAAGTGGGGCACCTACAACACGAATGACAACATTAATGTACAACTGAAATTACACAAGATTCTAACCTATCATTAACTCAACAAAAAAAATTTATTTGATGGATTTAGTGGCAGTCACTATCAACCAAAATGACAGCTGTTTTGGTGGACCAATGGAGGCAGAAGTCAGAGAGAAATGGGTTCAAGAATGAGGAGAAACAGGAAATGCAGACAGCAAGTTTAGATAACTGTTTTGGAGTTTGACTATGAAGGAGAGGAGAAAGGTGAAATTCCAGAGCAGAATATTGCCCCCAACCAAAAAAAAAAAAACAGAGAGAGAGAGAAGTTAAGTAAAACATTATTTGAAAGGGAAAAGAATATACAGTTGAGAGCTGGGTTAAGGGTTGTATATAAACAAGGAATATGAGCACAGATATCTTCTTGATGTTTCAGTAATCTGGCAGGAGCCTAGAAGAACCCATGAAATACACACCATCATCTTCTCAGGAGAAAACAGTACCACAGCAAGATCCCAGTATATTAGAAAACTGAATATATTAAGACAGGTATGTGGCAATATTCCATTAATAATCATACATATGTCATCATGATAATATACCATTAGAATATTAGTCACAGTGAAACTTTAAATATTTAATAAAATGAATGGCTTTCATATCTTTCCTCTCAAAGTTAAAAATGTTCCACATATCAATACCCACGTAATTTATAAACAGACCCACACCCCTCAATCATACCTTTGATGAAGATTATTTATTTCTTCATCCTTGCGGTTTATTTCCACTCTGGCAGTTTTGATAAGTGCTGAAATATTCTTCTTAAGAGATTGGTTTTCATTTTTTAGGCTGAAATTCTAAACATCATAAAATATATTTAATAAAGTATATATCTACAGGATTATTAAACTACTACTTATAGGGGCCAGCCCAGTGGTGCAGAAGTTAAGTTCACACGTTCCGCTTCGGTGGCCCGGGGTTTGCCAGTTCGGATCCTAGGTGCAGACACGGCACCGCGTGGCAAGCCATTCTGTCCAACATGGCATCCCATGGCCATGGCATCCCACATATAAAGTAGAGGAAGACAGGCACAGATGTTAGCTCAGAGTCAGTCTTCCTCAGCAAAAAAAGAGGAGGATCAGCGGCAGATGTTAGCTCAGGGCTAATCTTCCTCAAAAAAAGAAAAAACCCTACTACTTATAATAGCTAGTGACTATTGAATGCCAACTACCTGCCAGGCATCATATATTTCACCTTATGTAATTCTCAAAAAAGTCCTTTGAGAAGTACTATTATGCTTATGGTACAGATGGGGAAGCTGAGATTCAGAGAAGATAACTGGCACCAGAAACGTTATTTAAAGCGAACTACTTAAAACAGGTATCAAAATGAAAAAACAATAAATAACAGGAAAAAAGTTCTATGTGAGTCATTATCTTGAAAATCGAAAATAAAAATAAAAATTTTATTATATTTAACAACTTAGCTTTAACTTCCAACAATGTACTAATTTGCAGATGAACAAAGAACAAATCTAGGATTGACTGGTTCTTTTGGGGAATGGGAAAAGGAAGAGAAATAACTTAACCAGAAAATAAAAAATCAGAACAAGATATGACATTCCTGATTTTTGGAGCATGATCACCAAAAAAGTGACTCTGGCAAAAACTGTGAAGGTCTGACCATTTTCCCCCCAACGGCCATTCTAAATCTTTTCTCCTCAAACCATTCTATTTTAAACCACTTGATATCATCTCTGAGAATTTTTTATTATTTAACTGTTAACTAATCTAACGGATTTTTTATGTCAATATCATTTAACACATCAAGCAGTTTTCCTGTATCAATTTCACTGACATAGGAAATAATGCATGTTTTGCCAGATTTCCTATTTCATTTAATACTAAAAAAAAAAGTTTCCTTATAAATTGCTAACACTTTAGCATTTTAATTTCTAACAAAAAGTTTTTATTAAATTTTGATTTAAAAATTTAGTAAGGCAAAAATAAAACATTCAGAATAATCCTACCTGTGTCTGTATTTCCTTAAACTTTTTCATCAACTCTTTCATTTGCATCTGACATTTTCCATATTCTACTTGCAACTGTATGACATAAAAAGATTAATTTAAGCATCATTCTAAATTCTTTTCTTAGCTTAAATGACATTTCAAAATATTTAAAATTTTGCAAATCAATCCACTAAGAAGGGAAGATTACGTCTATTTCTACTAACAGGCATTTAGTAAGATTACTGGTTTTTAAAGTTGGCCCTACTAATAATATATTTTGTTTCACATTCAATCTCCAAACCTTAAAATTCAAATACAGTGGAAAGAAATTTATCTGATACAAGTGTTGGACATTTTATAACTTAGTAGATATAAAAAGATAAAATGTTATATCACACTGATTGCCTGTTGAGGTTTTATATATTCAGACACTTACAATTAATCAAGCAAAATTCTAACTAAATTTAGATAAGCATTCAGTAAACACTGAAAGCAGATCTCCAGGCAGAAACTGAATTAAACATTATTTTAGTCTAAGAGCTACTTCCTAAACACAGAGCGTCTGTTCAATAGTAAGCTGATGCCTGTACTTCAGGAGCTGTAAAAGAGTAAAATAACTGTCCTTAATAATTCTGGCAACCCATACATCATTATATGTTGCCTCCTTTGCAGTTCCTTCTTCAGTCAGAATTTCTTCATATAAATCCAAACAATTTCTGGATGGTACACAGGATTTGGAGGCATTGTCTAAAACAAACAAACAAAAAACCCTTACGTTAAAATATGTGTTTCCAGATTCAATGCAATCTCTATCAAAATTCCAATGTCATTTTTCACAGAAATAGAAAAAAAAAGAATAGAATCACAAAAGGCCACAAAGAGCCAAAGGAATCTTGAGAAAGAAGATCAAAGGTGGAGGCATCACACTTCCTGATTCCAAACTAAAATACAAAGCCACAGTAATCAAAACAGTACAGTACTGGCATAAAAACGGACACATAGACCAATGGAACAGAATACAGTCCAGAAATAAACCCATACATATATGGTCAATTAAAATTTACAACAAAGAAGCCAAGAATACACAAAAGGGAAAAGGAGAGTGTTTTCAATAAATGGTCTTGGGAAAGCTGGACAGCCACATAGAAAAGAACAAATCTGGACCACTGTCTTACACCACACACAAAAATCAACTCAAAATGGATTAAAGACTTGAACATAAGACCTGAAACCATGAAACTCCTAGAAAAAGATCTTGGCAATGACTTTCTGGATTTGACAACAAAAGCAAAAACAAACAAGCAGGACTACATCAAATTAAAAAGGTTCTACACAGCAAAAAAAAAAAACAAAAAACAAAATGAAAAGAGAACCTAAAGGATAGGAGAAAATATCTGTAAACTACATATCTGATAAGGAGTTAATATCCAAAATATATAAGGAACTCATACAACTCAATAGCACGAAAAAAAAATCTGACAAAAAAACAAGCAGAAGAACTGAGCAGACATTTTTCCAAAGGAGACATACAAATGGCCTACAGGTACATGAAAAGGCGCTCGACATCACTAACCATCAGGAAACACAAATCAAAACCACAATGAGATATCACCTCACACCTGTTAGAATGGTTGTCACCAAAAAGACAAGATAACAAGTGTTGGCAAAGATGTGGAGAAAAGAGAACCCTTGTGCACTGTTAGTGGGAATGCAAACTGGTGCACCTACTATGGAAAACAATATGGAAGGTCCCCAAAAAATTAAAAATAGAACTACGATATGATCCAGCAATCCGACTTCTGGGTATATCTCCAAAGGAAATGAAAACAGGACCTCAAAGAAATATCTGCATCCTCATGTTCACTGCAGCATGATTCACAACAGCCCAGATATGGAAACAACTTAAGTGTCTGTCACCAGATGAATGGATAAAGAAGATGAGGTATACAAATACAATGGAATATTAGTCAACCACGAGAAAGGTCATCCTGCCATTTACGAAAACATGGATGGACCTTGAGCACATTATGCTAAATGAAATAAGTCAGACAGAGAAAGACAAATAATGTACCATATCACTTATACGTGGAATTTAAAAGCCAAAAGCAGAAAAACAGAGACTAAAATGGTGGTTACTAAGGCCTGGGGGTGGGGGAAAAGAGGAAATGTTGATCAAGGAGTACAAACTTCCAGCTATAAGAGACTAAGTTCTGGGGATCTAATGTACAGCACAGTGATTACAGTTAATAATACTGTATTATATAACTGAAAGTAGCTAAGAGAGTAGATCTTGTGTTCTCACCACAAAAAAGAGACGGTAATTATGTGATGTGATACAGGTGTTCCCTAATGCTACAGTGGTAATCATTTTGCAATGTATGTGTGGTAATCATTTTGCAATAAATTAAGTGTATCAAATCAACACCTTGAACCTTAAGCTTACTCAATGTTATATGTCAATTATATCTCAATAACGCTGGAAAAAATACATGTTAAGATTTCTGATGTCACATTCCATTTCAACTCAAAGGACTAGACATTTTGCCATCTCCTGCAATTTCATCCAAATCTATACTGATTTCACAGGTAAGAGTTGGAAAACCAATTTATCTAAAACGTTTGTGTCAACAAATCAGGTGTGAGGACCGTATTTGTTCAAAGCTTTCAGAGATATGATTCTGGAAAAGGTTTCTAATTTGGATAGGTCATTAGACTCTGCATATCACACTCTCACTGATTCATTCAAAAATATTTATAACCACCCTTTGCAAAAGTTCTAACGTCATGTAACCTGTGACAGTATGGCCAGTAATATATGTATAGACACCACCACCAGCTGCTTTTCAATGGTACAAAATATTTTTGCACAAGGTCCAATTAAATCTGAGAGCTAAATGAATAACAAACCTGAGTGCTAATTTGTTTCAGTGATCAAGCTTTGGGCAAAAAAATAATCACCTGAGTGTAATCATGTGAAAGAATGGGCCGATTGTTCAGTAGTTTACGCCAAGATTTTGTAACAATAAAATAAACACTTCCAATGGACTGACCAAACAAAATGAAACTATTTTATTATAGAATTTACATACCAGAAACAGCACTGTCCAACCCAGCATATATGTCCAAAGAACCTTCATCATTATTTTTAAGAGGAGAAGCTGCAAGAAAATCAAAGACTAGTTAAAACTGACTTCACGCACTTAGTGAAGTTTTTCCATTCCTACTCTGTGCCAAAAAGGGAAACTGTTTAGACATTTTTTGGGGGGGTTATTTGTTTTGTTTGTTTGTTTTTGGTGAGGAAGATTGGCCCTGAGCTAATATCTGTTGCTAATTTTCCTCTATTTTGTATGTGGGATGCCACCACAGCATGGCTTGATGAGCAGTGTGTAGGTCCACACCCAGGATCTGAACCTGCAAACCCCAGGCCACCGAAGCAGAGTGCTCAAACTTAACCACTCCACCACCGGGCCAGCCCCCTAGAAGTTTTTATACATCCTTATAAACAGGAAGATCTTAGCACACAGATTTATGACTCGATTACCTCAGATTTAGACTTAAAAACTCACCTTCAAATATATACTAGTGAAAAGGCTCCAATTCGAGGAATAGCAGAGTAGTTTCTATTAGATCAATTCTCCTGCAGATAACAACTATAAACTCTAAACAAAATATCAAAAGCTATCTGCAGTCAAACGCTCTATTGTAGTGATCATTTCACAATACATATAAATATCAAATCATTTCAATGTATACCTGAGACTCATATAATGTTATATATAAATTACAAGTCAATTTAAAAAAAAAGCCATCTGAAAATGCAGAGAGCAGCCCACAGCAGGCAAAAACTGGAAGGCAGACAACATCTGAAAGAAGAAAACAGCGCTGCATGAGTTCCCTAGCCCCCTTTTATAACAATTTTTTTGTGGAAATATAGGCCCTAGTCGGAGCCCTAAAACTGGGCAGTGAAAACTCAGATGGAAACCCCTAGTCCTAATAGCTTGAAGAACCAGAGAAAAAACTTTGGGAATGATAACAGCAAATAGAAAGTAAGAGAAGAAATTCAGAGCGCCACAGAGGGGACTCCCCAAATTGTGCCCCCAAATCTCTGAGTGACCCCCAAACTACACAAGTAAAGGTTACAACTCCAAAAGTCCAGCTAAAGCTAAAGAATCTGAACAGATATTTCAGCTGCTATCCACCATAGGGAAGACAGAAGTTTAAGTTCAGCCAAGTTAAATATCTGCTAAAATTAAAAACACCACCACTCTTTAGAGAAATATAACAGAATCCAATGTCTCTATAACATCACATTTACAATGTCCAGAATGCAATCCAAAATTACTACATAGGAAATCTTGGCAGAGAAATAGAAACAAAAGAAACAAAGAAAAATCCCAAAACCAAATAAAAATCCTAAAACTGAAAACTACCATATCTAATGTAAAAAAATTCACTGAATGTGCTTGACAAAAGAGCCAGTGAACTTGAAGATAGATATAAAAATGAACTTACCTGAAGACCAGAGAGGAAAAAATTGAAAAAAAAAAAGTTTTAGTAACCTATAGGATAATCACCAAAAGTCTTCACATGTTATATATCTGGAGTCCCAGAAGAAAAAACAGAGAACAGGGAGGAAAATGATACTAGAGGGATACTAGAAGAATTAGAAATGGTAAATAATTAAGTAAATATAAAAGACTAATTTTTCTTCTTAATTTCCTTAATATATATAGAATGGTTTAAAGTAAAAATTAAAGCATTGTATTGTACAGTTTATGACATCTTTAACATAAACGGACGGATGGAGGTCAAATGTAACCACACATATGAGATTCTACATCTTAGGTGAAAAGGTATGATACTAACAAGGAGACTGCAAAATGTTAAAGATATATATTGCAATCCCTTGAGCAACCACTAAAAAATAATGCAAAGAGGTATAGCCAAAAAGCTAATATACAAATTAGAATGAAATTCTCAAATATATTCAAATAATACTTGAAAGAAGGCAAGAAAATCAGAAAGAAAAAATCTGATGAGACAAACTAAAATGAAATATTAAAATGATAAATCTAAATCCAATCACAATAATAAAGGACACTATTGGGTTAACTGATAAAATTGGAATGAAAATGGCATTTATAAATAAAAGTACTGTGTCAGTGTTAAATTTACTGAAATTGATAACTGCCATTGTTATGTAAGAAAAGCAACTTTTTCTTATGAAATACACACTTAAGTATTTGGGGGTAAAATATGTTATGTATGCCACTTACTCTCTAATAAATCATGAAAAATTGTGGGTGTGTACATGTATTTCAAAAGAGAGGATGTGTATGATGATAAAGCCACTGGTATAAAATATTAACAAGAGGGAGCCAGCACCAGTGGCCTAGTGGTTGAATGTATTCCACTTCAGTGGCCCAGGTTCAGTTCCCAGGAGCGGACTTACACCACTTGTCTGCCAATGGCCATGCCATTACAGTAGCTCACGTACAAAAAGAGGAAGACTGGCAACAGATGTTAGCTCAGGGTGAATCTTCCTCAGAAAAAAAAAATTAACGAGAGGTAAATTGGGAAGAAACTGGGTAAAAGGTTCTTTGTATGTTGTCTTGAAACTTTTAAGTTTCAAATTATTTCCAAACAAATAAAAGACAATTACAAAAATGTTATAGGAAGCAATAAAAATTTTTGTGAAATCCTGTTAAGTGGTAAAAAGTAAAATGCAAAGCAAAACACACGCCGTGGCTGTGATTATCAAAACATGTACGCACATGGACAGGAACTTGAGAGACAATAACATGTAGAAATGAAGACAGCCGTTTCCAGCAAACAAGATTAATGATACAGTTTCGTCCTTCAAAATAATAAGAGCTGCAGATGTAATAAAAGTTAACTGTGAGACTGGGCACGTGTGTGTGGTGATAGATGGTAAGTAGTCACTGGGTGACAAACATGATATAATCTACACAGAAATCAAAATACAATGATGTACACCTGAAATTTATGTTATAAAACATTACCTCAATTAAAAAAAAGTTAACTGTGAATCTAGGTGAAAAGTAAAGGTGTTCATTATATTATACTTTCAACTTTTCTATTGGCTTAGAATTTTTCAAAGAAAAAAAAAGATTATCTTAAGAGAATTACAGGGCCTGGCCCAGTAGCATAATGGTTAAGTTTGCACGCTCCGCTTCAGTGGCCCAGGGTTCACAGGTTTGGATCCCAGGCGAAGACCTACTCACCGCTCATCAAGCCATGCTGTGGCAGCATCCCACATACAAAGTAGAGGAAGATTGGCACAGATATTAACTCAAGGCCAATCTTCCTTACAAAAAAAGAAACAGAGAATTACATAGCAGTGTAACAATTTGAAACTACATCAGCAAAAAACAAGTAACACCAAAAAACAACACTACCCAGAGTGGTTATGATGGCCATATTTCGTGTGAATTCTTCCATATCTATGAATATTACTTTTAAAAAAACATATATTTTAAGCAAAAATGGAATTCTACTAGGCATGTTTTACAACTGCCTTTTTCATTCTATAACAGAGTAATCATAATTCTAGTCAATAAATATACATCTATAATCTCAAAAAATTTAATGAGGTTGCTTGGGATAATATAACAAGACAAAAGAATCAGATAAATATTATGTCAGGATTTGGACATTTATATTCTGCATATTATTGAATTTATCTGTAATCTATAAGCTTATTTTACCACCAGGTCTCAGTTATCTCTCGCAAACTAATCACTCACTGTGACTGTCAATTTTTCCCTGAACAAGAGTAAACAAGCAGGACCGCACCTACGGGAAGCATTAACTTCAAGAGTAACAAACACATTTTTTTGGATATGACAATAAAAGTCATTACCACTTTTATTGGCAAAGCTGCTAATTTTACTACATTTAAGAGGCTCAGATTTACTAAGCACTTCCTATCTGCCAGGCACTTTACTGTACTGACTCATTTACGTGTGGGGAGAAAAAGTTCATAATGACAGTTTTTTTCAATAAGAATTAGTAAATGATTTTGTAATTAAATAAATAAATTTAGAAAGAATTAAAATGAGCTCTTACCAGAAAAGACATCAAATAAACTTGTTCCATCACCATTGTCATCATCTGCTGCCATGATCCTATTTCCTTTTGATAGTCGCCATCTAAAGTATCAAACATAAAGATTTTCCACTATTAAAATCAACCTCACAATTCAGAGAATAAAGCAAGCTTTAAATTAAAAAGCAACTTTCAAATTTGGATATATTGAATAAGTTCCCTCACTACCGTGATTTCAAAAAAAGATTAACACTTTCCAAAAGCCAACTCTCTAAGACAAAAACCTTAAAGTTGCTGGTATGGTTAAGCCGTGTCATGAAGTAAATGACATTAATTTTATAAATTAGACAAAAATAGAAATTAATTTTTATACTAAAATAAGCCATTAAATAAGTACAACTATATGGTAAGTTCTGTGAGTCTTCTTAGCAAATCATCAAACCTGGGGGTGGTCTTAGAGACTCCAGACACACGTTTTCATCAGTAAGATAGTAAGACAGGCAAACAGCAAACAATTTGATACCATACTAGGTTGGTAAAGGTGTGGGAAAAGAAGTACTCTCATACATCACTCAAATGTATACTGAACAAGCTGCATGGAGGCAATTTGGCAATGGCTATCAATACTTTTTAAATACTCTTTAATCCAACAATTTCATATCTAGTAATTTGTTCTACAGATATACAAGCACATGATTACAAAAATATGTGTACAGGAATATTTAATGCAGTGCTGTTTGTAGTGGCAAGATTGGAAGCAACATAAAAATCTAAAACAGTAAAAAAAACATCAGAATTATATGACATTCTCCATTCTGCCAGTAAAACCTGAGGAATGCTGCTTATGGTCAATGAACTATGGCCACTGTGGCTACTGGGGGTCGTTAAGGGTACCTGCACCTGCATATTTCTGCTCCCACCAATTGAGATATACACTTACCAACAGCCAGGTGCATTTATTACCAAATCAAACTATGTGTGTTTCCTTATTTTTCTAAATAATAGTATGATGAAAGATCACATTACCAAAGGGTAATTTTCCAGTAAAAACTAGGCCGAGTGCTTTGGAAAGACTCATAAGTAGCAAGACACATACATAACTGCTTGTCAAATCAAGTGAAGGTGAAATAATCCAAAATACTGGAAGAAGAAATCTAGCCTGTACTCAGAAGGATTCACAAGTATCTAAGTTCTTACTCCACTTTAATGAAAAAACTGCTGCAAATAATAATAATGTCTTATGGGTATGATCTATGCACGAAAGAAGTCAGAACTCTAATCACTGGATTCACATTCAAAGAAATGGCCATGGTTCTACCACAAGAGAGAGAATTTATGTCACTCTGTTAAATAAAATTAAGGTATATATCTTTTTTTCTTCATTCCTTCTTCATTCCCCACATTGCCATTCCAACCTTTTCTCTGATAAGCTGATTTGATTAATTAACTGTTATAATATAGACTGTACAATAATAACAAAAGGTACAAATGGCCTGATTATATTTAGCAAATAATGCAACTGACTCTTGGTAAAGCAAAATTCAACCAGTGGGGCAGAAACTCAGGCTTCCTAAGAGTAATCTACTACTAGTTAGAAACTGTCGTGTGGAGTGGGGAGCATCAGTCAACGGCGTTTTTACAGAATGGAAATCAGCTAATCTAATGATCTGGTTAAACACAGATCAAACAGACCAAAAGTTTTCATTGTGTATTGTTTCACAGGTTTAATTTTTATTACTGGCAGGAATTACCTGAAAAAAAAAAATTTCTACTTGGCCTAGTGAGCTAAAACTAAGAAATAAACATAAAAGTCCCGACAAATCCTGGATCTTTTGTCTCTCATCTGTCTTAAGTTTTTCTCCATTTGTTTGTGGGTGGGACCATTGTCTCCACATCTTAATCTCTATGCCCCCCACCAAAGAAGGTATTTTTTTTCAATTACTTATAGGGGCCAGCTCGGTGGCATAGTGGTTGAGTATGCACGCTCTACTTTGGTGGCCCAGGGTTCACAGGTTCAGATCCCAGGCGCAGACCTAGCACCACTCATCAGGCCATGCTGTGGCAGCATCCCACACAAAACAGAGGAAGATTAGCACAGATGGTAGCTCAGCAACAATCTTCCTCAAGCAAAAAGAGGAGGATTAGCAACAGAAGTTAGCTCAGGGCCAATCTTCCTCACACACAAAAAAATTGCTCATAAATTTAAGAGAAAGTGACTGCTTATTTCTTAGTCATATCACATGTTGCATTAAAAGTTCTTCAATGAGCCGGCCTAGTGGTTAAGTTCAGTGCACTATGCTTCAGCGGCTCAGGTTCAGTGCCTAGGTGCGGACCTACACCACTCATCAGTTGTGGCAGTGACTCACATATAAAATAGAAGACTGGCACATATGTTAGCTTAGGGCAAATCTTCCTCAAGCAAAAAAAGAGGAAGACTGGAAATGGATGTTAGCTCAGGGCAAATCTTCCTCAACAAAAAGAAAAGTTCTTCAAAGTTATTTCTGAGAATAATATATATCGTAATATAAAGAAGTCATCAAAAGAAGTTATATATGTGGTTTCTCACTATGTATACATAAAAAGTTAAAGGAACTGTGGCAATTATCATGCCGCTCAATTCCAAATGCACCCTTCTGTGATAATGGAGACGGGCTTTGTAAATATTTCTCCTTTGCTAACTGGCACGATGTTAAGCTTTGTCATTAGAGACTGCTGGAGGCACACTGCCAAAGAGGTTTCTCTTCCTAGTTTCAGTGAGCCTGGCTAGCCAGGCTCCTGCAGAGCATGCTTTCACCAGCATTCGGTTCCTGCAGCAGACAGTTTCTCCAGCACTAGGCTCCCACAGGGCACAATTTTTCTACATGCTTGCCTCCTATAAATGAGGTTTCCATTACAATAGGCTCCTGCAGGATACACTTTCTCCTGCCAGGCTCATGGAGATGGCAGCTTCTCCAACTCTTGGATCCCCCAGCACTTGACAGCCAGTAGCATCCAGGAGCTTCCCTATGCACCTCCTCTGTCAGATTCAAAGCAGTGTCACCAGCAAGGCACTTAGCAACTTCTCCATCATCCAGGTAGCCCCAGTTCTTTCCAATGAGGGGGAAGACAGCTCTTCTTTGGATGATCTATCTCAACTCTAGAGATGGTGGCTGCTCCCTATATCTGTTATTCCCATGTTCTTTAGAGTTATCTTTAACTCTTATTAACCAATTCTCAGTTACTCCAATCCTCTGTTAATAATTCGTTACACTAAGCTTTCTCTTTTCAAATTACCACGTAGTTTTTGCCTCCTTATTGGATCCTGTCCAATACAGGTAAACAGTCACAATAGAGATTTTTGACACACTTTGCTATGCTGATCAAGCAGTTAAAGAAATTTAGAGACACAGCTCTGAATATGAAATTGGCAGGTTTGATCTGATGATTTTATATCCCTGCATGCAATAATTAAGAGAACTGATGTTACTTTCAAGCACATTTATAAAAACTATCTATCAAGATAGAGCAAGTTTCAACAAATACCACAGAAGTGCTTTTATCAAGACCAATAAAACTCGAAGTTAACAATGCACTTTCAAATTTCCCAGTTCCTTTGAAAATTTACAAACAAAAGAAAACATTTTCTTTTGTACAGCAAAAGAAAAAAAAAGAAAAAGAACGAAGTAAACCCAAAGAAAGAAACACAGAAAGAACAAAGATTAATACAAAGAAATAAACACTATAAAGACGAATAACAATAAATGCTGGCTCTTTGAAAAGACAAATTAAATAGGCATATGCCTGGCTTAACTAATCAAGTAAAAGCAAGAAGGCAGAAACATTAGGAATAAAAAAGGAGCGACAGCTTCATACATAGCAGAGATTAAATTATTGAAATACTATTGAAAGCTCAATGAAATTGACAGTTTTTCAGAAAAACATAATGGCCAAAACTGACTCAAGAAGAAATAGAAAACAAAGACATATCTAGCATGATTAAATAATTTGATATAGTAGTTAGATCTACTCATAAAGAAATGACTAAACCCAGACAGTTTTACAGGAAAATTCTCTAATACACCTTTAAAGAAGAGAGAAAACATAATAGATTTAAGACAAGAGAATGAGGAAAAAAAGGCTAAGAGACAAATAATTTTATAAAGTTAGTACAGTTTAGACATCAAAACTGGGCAAAGGGGGCCGGACCAGTGATGTAAGGTTAAGTTCTTGCACTCCACTCCAGCAGCCCGGGACCATATCCTGAGACTGGACCCACACAACGCTCGTCAGACCACGCTGAGGTGGCATCCCACATGCCACAACTAGAGGGACCCACAACTGAAAATACACAACTATGGGGGGCTGGCCCCCTGGCCAAGTGGTTAAGTTCGAGTGCTCTACCGGCATCCCAGGGTTTTGCCAGTTCGAATCCTGGGTGCGGACATGGCACTGCTCATCAAACCACGCTGAGGTGGCGTCCCACATGCCACAACTAGAAGGACCCACAACTAAGAATATACAACTATGTACCGGGGGCTGTGGGGAGAAAAAAGAAAAAAATAAAATCTTCGGAAAAAAAAAAAAAAGAAAGAAAGAAAAAGAAAATACACAACTATGTGCCAGGGGGCTTTGGGAGAAAAAGGAAAAATAAAATCTTTAATGAGATTTTTTTTTTTTTAAAGACTCGCACCTGAGCTAACAACTGTTGCCAATCTTCTTTTTTTCTTTTGCTTTTTCTCCCCAAATTCCCCCCAGTACATAGTTGTATATTTCAGTTGTGGGTCCTTCTAGTTGTAGTATGTGGGACGCTGCCTCAACATGGCCTGATGAGCGGCACCATGTCCGCGCCCAGGATCCGAACCGGTGAAACCCTGGGGCAGGCCCCAAAATCTTTAAAAAACAAAAAAAGGCAATAGCTTTTCTATATGCTAGCAAAGAGTTTTAAAACATAACTAATAAAAAGATATTATTTACAACAATAAAACCATAAAGTACATAGTTAATCTAATACAAAATGTCCAAGACCTTTATGGAGAAAATAACAAAAGATCTAAATCAGGGGTCTAGAAACCTTTTCTTCTTAAACAACCGGAAAGTACCTATTTTAGGCTCACAGTCCATCTCG